TGCTTTGTTAAGGCATCTCAGGATCCTAAGCCAGTCACATTGGAGCTGTTTCCTGGGGTTTTGGATTGTAGGCAAAGGAATTGAGGCTAGATTCTGAGCAGGGTTGAGGTGGTTCTCTGTGCTGCGACACAGCTCCATAACTTGATGTTGCCACTGACCCATATCAGTGGGATGTCTGAGTGGCCCCAGGTGTCACTTTGCAGCATCCATTGGTTAAATGGTGACCTTGCTCACTCCACACTCATCCTGTGATATCTCACAGGAGCTGCAGCAAATAACTAAGCTTTTGGAGTTTTGTTTTTGTGATGAGACAAAATATACACAAAAGTTCAGGTCACCTCACACATCTTTTTCAGTGCTAATGTCTTTTCAGGATCACATTGTTACTGCTCCAGCACATAACTGGTGCATTATGAATTATGAATTATGAAGGAACCTGCCGTTATTGAAAAGCATTTGCTTTTTAATAATCTCTGAGCTATTAGTGAAATGGTTAGCAGAGGTCTTCTTATCCTAATGGCAAACAAGCATGCAAATCTGACCCAGTGTCTTAGTATTCTGTTGCTGTGAAGAGACACCATGACCATGGCAACTCTTATAAAAGAAAACATTTAATTGGGACTGGCTTACAGTTTCAGAGGTTTAGCCCATTGTCATCATGGTGGGAAACGAGGTGGCACACAGGCAGGCATGGTGCTTGAGAGTTTTACATCGGATTCGAAGGCATCAGGAAGAGAAAGACACTGGGCCTGGCTTCAGCATTTGAAACCCCAAAGCCCATCCCCAGTGGCACATTTCCTCCAACAAGGACACACCTCCTAACCCCTGTCAAGTAGCTCCACTTCCCAGTGATCAATCATTCAAATAGATGAGCCTATGGGGGGCCGTTCCTATTCACACCACCACACCTCACTTCTGTGGCTGAGAAGCCTAGATCCCAATTACCTGTCATCCCAGCAGTGCTTGCACAAAATGTCAGTAACAAGACGGTGCTTTCTGCATCTCCCCAGATATACATGTATCCACACAAAAACATGTGTTGAAACTCACCTTTTATACTTGCTTATTTTGTGTAGTTTGCAGTATGAAATAATTTCAGGTATTCTTATTTTTCTTTTTAAAAAGGTTCTTTTTTTTTTTTTTTTTTTTTGACAGAGACAGTCTTCAGAGTTTGTTTCCTAGCTTGTGTGTTTAACTGCTGCGGGCTGCAGGAATATTGTAAGAACTCAGCTGGTTATGGCAAAGTCACTACCTGAAGGAATCAGGGAATTCCTCCAGAGGAAGCCAAATCCCAAGGAGTTTTTGGTGTTACTTGGCTTGTTATATATCAGTTGTATTCTGTTATGAAAATCATGTGTGCCTTCATAGCTTTCCCAATTGACTTTTCCCTAAGAAGGGCTAACAGTATGGACTGATCACTCTCTGGACATACACATTCCAGGTATTTGGAGAACTGCCTCAGGAAAGATTTTCTCTGGAATCAGATTCTCCCTTGGCCACTTTCAAGGACTAGCAGTAATAACAGTCCACATGCAACTCTCCTGATTTAAGATAAATTCCATAAGGAGACACCGCCTAGGTCAGGTGGACGTTAAGTAATAGCTTTATATAATTCATCTCGGACCCTCCTTTCTTACAGCCTTACCAACTTTATAGACCGCTAACTCCTTACCTAACCACTTCTAGGAATATTTAGATAACCTTCTGCACTGACAGCTATGCTCAGCCAGAACTCCAGTTCAAGCCTCCCTGTAATTATCATTAGCAGCATCCGGCCAGGTCCATCCCCAGATGGAGGAAAGTACTTTATCAGAGATACTTCTGTACTCTCTAAGACTTAAGCATCCAGCCTACCTGTTTGGGAAGGCCTGGCGGATGTGCCAATTAAGCCTTACTTCCTTCTTTCCCAAACCTTACCTCCAGTTCCAGACCTCCCTTTAACTATCACCAGAGGCATCTAGCTGTACGCAGGTTGCCTAACGACTGAGCACACTTTTCCCCACCCTGCAGAAAAACAGCAGATAGCTTGAACAGATAGGAGCTACAGAAAAAAAAAAGAAGACAGTTTTATTTTCTCCCATTGACCTAGCAACTTATAGATTCTTAACACTTTCTAAGATTATAGTTGAGCACATAAGAGCCCTCTTCTTAGATATTACCTGAATTTAGCCTTTAGCTAATTCATTTCCCCATTGGTCATTTCCCTTTGGGGTTGAAAATGATAATTAACAGTTATTGCCTCCATATGTGATTCTTATCACCCCTCCATTTGACCCTGGAAGCCTGGTTTTGCACTGCTAAGGGAATACTGCTTGTAAGTGTATATATAGCAGGACTCCCAGAGAGGACAGAGAAGAGAAAAGAAAAGAGAATGGAAGAACTAGATGGGTAAGAAGTTGAGAGAAAAGAACTGAGATGGGGAAGAACTAGATTGAAGGGCTAGAAGAGAGGACAAGAGGAACGAGATGGAAGATGAGGAAGAGCCAGATGAGAGAGAAGGAGACGGGAGATGAGCTGATAGGGGAAAGAACTAGATAGATGAGAACCTAGAAGGGACAGAACTAGATGAAGGAATTAAGATAGAACCTAGAGGGGACAGTAGACAAATATAGAGAAATCAGGCAAGGAAGGAGCTAGGCATGAGAGCAGAATAGAAGCTGTGTAGAGAGAGAACTATCACAGAATAATAATAAAGTGTATGAACTAAGGAGTTTCATGTACATAGATTCATTTCTTTTCATCAAAGATTAATTATCAGCTGGTTGTAGATTCTTCCCGGACCCTGGGAGGGGACTATCAAGGGGCTGAACCCCCATAGTCCCCGATATTTAACAGTTGTAGCTTTTTCAGCAGTGAGTTTAATAAAAACTAAGAAAGAGCTCCTTGAGGCTGTGTAGTCACTGCTGCATGGGACCAGCTGGGCCTGGTGAGAACTGGTGTGGTACAAGAATAGAAGACCAGTGCCCCCGAGAGGCGAAGCTAGACGTTGCACCTAGGAACACAGGAAATTCTTCATGCTTGGATATTACTGAGACTTTTGAAAGGGCAATATCTATCGATTTGGACTCAGAGTCAGTCTCTGAGTGTCTTAAGGTTTCTATTGCTGGGAAGAGACCCCATGACCACAGCAATTCTTACAAAGGAAAACATCTAATTGAGGTGGCAGCTTACAGTTCCAGAGGTTCGGTCCATTATCATCATGGCGGGGAGCATGAAGGCTGGGAGTATGGCAGGAGGAGTGCGGCAGATATGGTGCTGGCTACATCTTGATCAGAAAACAGGAAGTGGACTGAGACACTCTATGCCATTTCTTGAGCATAGGAAAACTCAAAGCTCACCCGCACAGTGACACTTCCTCCAACAAGGCCACACCTCCTCCAAAAAGCCACACCTCCTAATTGCGCCACTCCCTGTGAGCTTATGAGGGCCGATTACTACCACACTGAGCATCTACTGTTTGGCCAGATGATGTTACTTACGTGGGACGTCACTGTATATTGCCTTTGGGTTGGTGTCCCCAGTGTCTAAGTTTAGGAAGAAGTGCTCCAAGTATGAATAGATACAACTGGATTGCTTTCTTTAGTAGTGCTGAAGAATCCAGCTCAGAGCCCTGCACATGCTGGTCATGTACACTGACACTAGCTACTCCCTATCCCATGCACTTCCAGTTTTAATATGGCGTACCTCTGAGAATAAAGAAACAGCCAATAGTCTTGAGTTGTTTTTACTCTTTAATCTGATCAGTTGTAAGAAACACTGACTGAGGCCCAACCAAGACAGTGGACAACAGCTACAGGGGAGAAATAGTCAAGCGAAACCATCTTACAGCTCTTAGATATTGTATATTCCATATAGTACAGTCCATGGTGTTTTGTGGTGTGCTGTGGATCAGGCCCAGTATTTTTCTTTTTAATGTATTTTATAGTTTTATGACTTCTCCTCCTTCTTCTACTCCTTCTCCGTCTCCTTTTCTTCTTCTTCTTCTTCTTCTTCTTCTTCTTCTTCTTCTTCTTCTTCTTCTTCTTCTCTCTCTCTCTCTCTCTCTCTCTCTCTGGTTTTTCAAGACAGGGTTTTGTCAGGTGTTCTGTGTTGCATGGGCCATTCAAAGAAGGAGAGTCACCCCAGAATGTAATTTTAGGCTCTCTGGCAGCAGCAAGGAACAGCTTCTGTGAACTGAACCTCAAACCTCTGTTTAGAATCCATTTAGGTTGTGTTTGGAGCACAACAAGTTCCTCATACCAAAGGCCCTTTGATCTATATGTTTGCTGAAGGAAACCGTCATACTCTTGCAACTTTAGTTCTTATTGTGTACTGTTTGCAGTACTCAATAATTCAAGTCCTCCAAGTGTGCCTGGATAGTCTGTGACCAAAGCCATGCAATGGATGGAAAACTTCCTCAGAAAAACAACACTATAAATCATAGAAAACAATCACTGTTCTCTACTATGATTTCTTCAAGGTCTAGGTAACTTTACCAAACACTAATACATTCTACTGTTACCCTAGATACAGTAAGAAACAACTGTTGCATTCTAATGTTTACCCTAGATACAATGACTCTGCTAAAATCCCACTACAGGGTTTCTCTGTGTAGCTCTGGCTGTCCTGGAACTCACTCTGTAGACCAGGTTGACCTCAAACTCAGAGATCCGCCTGCCTCTGTCTCCCAAGCGCTGGGATTAAAAACATGCACCACCACCACCTGGAAGTTTTCTAATTTCTTAAAGATATATTTTACATGTTTTGTCTACATGTATGTCTGTGCATCATATACGTGCAGTGTCTGGGAAGGTCAGAAGAGGGTGTCAGATCTCCAGGAATCTGGAGTTATAGATGATTATGAACTGCCATGTGGCTGCTGGGAATTGTACTCGTGTCTTCTACAAGAACAAGTGCTCTTAACCACCGACTCATCTCTTCAGCTCCAAGTTTCCTAATATTTAAGAATTAAAACACAAGTTACAGCCGGGCATGGTGGCGCACGCCTTTAATCCCAGTACTCAAGAGGCAGAGGCAGGCGGATCTTTGAGTTTGAGGCCAGCCTGGTCCACAGAGTGAGTTCTAGGACAACCAGGGCCGAGAAACTTTTTCCAAAATCCAAACCCCCAAACCAACCACCCAACCAAACACACACTCAAGCTGACACACTGTATCATATCAAAGGAAGTAATGCTATGACCACTGAATTCTCTTAGGCTGCTTCTTAGTTTTACCTTCCCAAGATTCTTCCAGCAATTCACTACTTGCCGGTCAGTAATATTAGTGTCTAGTTTCATTTTTTGATAATTATCTGAGGTGGCAGAGTGCTGAGCATTAGGAAGCCCTAGGTCTGATCCCCTGCACAGTGTGAAGCCAAGTGTAGGTGTGGTGGTGCATGCCTATAACAATGGAGGTGGAGGCAGGAGGATCAGAAATTCAAGGCCACCTTCAGCCACATGAGAGTTTTTTCTCACTGTATCTAGGGTAACAGTAGAATGTATTAGTGTTTGGTGAAGTAACCTAGACCTTGAAGAAATCATAGTAGAGGACAGTGATGACAGCCTGGATGTAAGAGGTCTTGTCTCAAAAAATAATTATCAAAGGTTTAAATGTATGCTTTCATGTATTTAACACATAGTATGAAGTTAATTTGAACTTCACCAAATTGGTTCATTAAAAGAAGTCACTACTCCAGTGTAGCATGAATCTTAAAAGGTCTTATTAATAAAATCAAACCTGGTGCCAGTTATTGGGGTGAACACTGAAAGATCAGAGAAACAGAAGAAGCCACAGCCACCTCACCTCACCAATTCCTCAGCTGATCCTGTTTCCTCAGACTGGAAGCCTCTGAGTCTTCATGCAAAATGAATCTCAGCTGAACTGCTGCTAAAAGCCTAAAAGCTTAACCCGCTAGTTCCTGGTCCTCACACCTTATATAACTTTCTGCTTCCTGCCATCACTTTCTGAGATTAAAGGCGTGAGTCACCATGCCTGGCTGTTTCCAGTGTGGCTTTGAACTCACAGGGATCCAGATGGATTTCTGCCTCTGGAATGCTAGGATTAAAGGCGTGTGCTACCACTTCCTAACCTCTGTTTAACATTATGGCTGTACTGTTCTCTGACCCCCAGATAAGTTTATTGGGATGCACAATATATTGGGGGGACACTTATATCACCACATTCCAGTGATATGTCAAGAGACAGCTGAGCTGAAATTATGAACAATCAGTTTTCTCATTATCTTTTGCTTTGTCAAAAACATCTAAGCACTGCCTACCAGCATTCTTTCAAGCTGTCTTCTTTGTTCTAATTGTGTTACAGCTCTGATAGAAAGGTATCCTGGCATTCAGAAGCCAAGAAATAACTACAGCTCGGAAGGGAAAGGTATCCTGACAGAAGTGTTACAGCTCTGCTCCAGTAAGGGAAAGTTTCCCCAGCCAAAGTGTTACAGATCTGCTCTGCTCCAGCTCCACTCTCCTCTGCTCTGGGGAAGGTCGTTAACAGCTCTTCTCTGCTAAGGGAAAGTTTCCTCCAGGAAGTCTAGAAGTTCTGCTCTACTCTGAGGAGAGCCATTACAGCTCTGCTCTGTTCCACTCAGGCAAAAGAAAGTCGTGACAACAAACCTCACTCAAGAGATTTATTGGGAGGGGAGAATCCAGGAGAGTGACCGACTCTGCCAGGGCAGAAAAGGCAGCCCCAAACTAAACAGGTACAGGGCTTATATAGGATTTCTTAGGGGTGGAGCTTTCCAGAGTGAAGATTTTCAGGGTGGGGATTGGTAGGATTTCAAGTCCTGAGCTTGGGACAAGCTCAGAGATTTGTTGGATTTTGTGCTCAGGTATTGGTTGGATTTCAAGTCCTGAGTTGGTTAGGGGCAGGGTGTGGCTTTGGCCTCAGGGCCAGGGTATTCTTTCACTGCCCCTTTTTACCCTACACTCAGTCTTTGGATTCCTATGGATTATGTGCAGCAAGCTCAGGATGCCGTCATCAGCCCTGCTGAACAGTTCTGACTTCTGTTTAACTCTGGACTAGCATGACACATATTTGATTCTTCTTCAGCCCAAAGAGGTATTATAGTTCCAGGGTATATTTTCTTACATTCATGGGAGATATTGCAGATACTATTGGTAATGGATATAAATGTGTAAATCCATCAAACTTGTAAATGAATTGCTAGGCATTTAAATGGTAATGGTTTAAATATATTACTGTATATTATAAACTAAAAATAATGTCTCTCCAATATTTCATTCTTGGAGCCATAGTCCTTTTTGGAGGAAAGAGGGGCAGGGTCTCACTTTGTAGCCCTGTCTGGCCTGGGATTCACTATGTAGACTAGGCTAACTTCAAACTCATAGAAGTCCACCTGCCTCTGCCTCTTGAATTCTGGGACTAAAAGTGTGCCATCAAACCTGGCTTGGAATCACAGTCCCTTATAACTCACCAGCTTTCTTTAGTCAAACATGCAAACATGGACTGGAAATAGAACTATTTTGGAGTGCTGATTTGCAGTGAGCACCGCAATCATGGGGACCACATCACATAGCACACAGCACTCAGGCAGGTTGTGTTAGGTGTCACATGCCTTGTCTGAGAAGTAAGCAAACCCTCCCAGTAGGTCATTCGGCAGTAAACATGCTTAATCTACAGTGTAATCAGGCACATAGCCCCAGTCACAGTTACTAGCTCGATTAGCTAAAGCAATGAATAAACTTGGCTATGCCCCAATAAAACAGCTTAAGTTTACTGACATGTATTATAGCATTCTTAGTTTCTTTTTTTTTTTTTTTTTGGAGCTGAGGACCAAACCCAGAGCTTTACGCTTGCTAGGCAAGTGCTCTACCACTGAGCTAAATCCCCAACCCTTCTTAAAAAGTTTTTGAGCCACTTAAAATGTAATGATTTACATGGTGGCACACACCTATAACTCTAGCACTCAGGAGGCAGAGGCAGGAGGATTACACAGTGAAATCTTGTTTCAAAAAACCCAAACTCAAGCCATCATTGTCAGCTCACAGCACAGTGTCAGGTGAACAGGAAAGTGTTATTTCACTAGCTGTATCTCCTAATTCTATGACAGGTTAATTTCTGCCATCTTGCTGGCACTGAGATGGATGGGGTTTTATTCAGCCTTCCTAAGGTCATGAGTAGCCTCTATGTGTAGCAAGAATCTTTAATGGTCTTATTAATAAAAACAAACCTGAAGCCAGGTATTGGGGTGAATGCTGAAAGATCAGAGAAGCAGAACAAGCCACAGCTTCCTCAGCTTGCCAGTTCCTCAGCTGATCCTGTTTCCTCAGACTGGAGGCCTCTGAGTCCTCATCCAAATCCATCTCAGCTGAACTGTTGCTCAAAAGCCTAAAAGCTTAACCAGCCCAAAAGCCTAACCAGCCTAGTTCCTGGTTTTCATGCCTTATATACCTTTCTGCCCTCACTTCCTGGGATTAAAGGCATGAGTCACCATGCCTGGCTGTTTCCAGTGTGGCTTTAAACTCACAGAGATCCGGATAGATCTCTGCCTCCCAAGTGATAGGATTAAAGGTGTGTGTGCCACCATTTTCTGGTCTCTGTATCTAGTGGCTGTTCTGTTCTCTGACCCCAGATAAGTTTATTTGAGTGCACAATATTTCGGGGAACACAATACCACCACATCTATGTGCCTTAGACCCTCTTAAGCACTGCTCTTAGTTACAAAGATACATGCAATCTTAAACTCTGAGCATTGGAATGGCAGGACACATTTGGGCATTTTTATAGATCAAGCTGTTGGTAAAGCCTGAAGAAGCAGAGGAACAAATTGTTGCAGTAATCTGGGGATGAAAAGATAGTATTCTGGACGACACTGGTAGAAACGGAGACTAAGAAAAATAGATACAGATTGGGGATATTTTTAGAACTGGGTGCTTCCTTGAATGATGCTCCATTTTGCTTGGTGAATGGCTTTCTCAGAATGAAAGAAACTGATGTCATGATTTTTTTAAAAATACTATCTGAATCTAACTGGAAATATATACCATCTCTTATTATAGATAGCCATCTTTTTAAAATGCTGTAATCTATTATTATATCTGATTTGCTGATTACTTCAAAGTGTAGCACACTTTTACTTTTCAAGTATAAATGTTTGTTGAAGTTTTTTTCTGATTAAAAATAATCCGAATTCATCATAATCCAAGGCCAGGGATCCCTCCCTACGGAGTAACTTGAATTTATCTCCAGACTCCGTGCAGACACCGGCCTTTTTCCGCCTGAGTTCCCATTGGCTCCTGGGGCCAGCCACTCTCCAGGACCAGCGCGGCTGCTGGTCCAGCCGGGCTTAGCAACTCCCAGTACCCATTAGATCACCCTTGAGACCCCGCCCATTCCCCCACGAAGTTCCGCCCAGTCGGCCGCCCACCTGAAAATCCCCGCCCACTCTCTTCGCGCGCGAAGCACAGTTCACACCCTCCAGCCGCTCTCCTGTTTATGGAAGCCCCGCCCATTCTGCGGGTCGCTCGCGAGGCCCCGCCCACTTCACCCGCCCACCAAGCTCCGCCCCCTCTTGCCCGTATCCCAACTCCTTCCCTTCTTCCGTCGCTTCTACCTCTCCCCGCCCCCACAGCTACCTTTCATTGGCTAAAAAGGCTAAACCGCGCGGGGATGCAGCAGAACCGCATTCTGATTGGTTAAAGCCCAAGCCGGGCCCCTTGTCATTGGCTGATACGAGAAACCAGCAAGAGTGGCTGTGCAGCGGGCGTGCGGCCGCTGCTTTGTTGCCGGAGGGGGCGGCGTTGGAAGTTGCAGGCTTGCGGGGCCAGCGTTCTCGAGACGTGGAGTTGCGGCCGCTGCTATCTCCCCCCGAATAGTCTTCAGCCAGTCCCCGCCCGACAGCAGCCATGAGCGGCGGCGTGTACGGCGGAGGTGAGTGAGCGCGGCGGCGCCTCGGGGCGTGCGGGCCGGAACGACCGGCCCGGTCCCTGGCCGCTTTCGTTTCCCTCCGGTCCTCGGCGGGCCCTTCCGGTCTTTGGCCAGTCCTTCCGGTCCCCGAATGGGCCACGGCCTCTCCGCCCCTTCGGCCCCGGAGCCCGCGCGCTCTGGGCTCCCGGAGATGGCCTCGAGGGAGGGCCTTGCCGCAGCGTCTCGCACCTGGGGCTCTGGGACTGGCGGGACTCTGACGGCAGTCACCTGGCTCGCCGGGTCCCTGCCGTACCGGTTCCGCCGCGCGTTTGTCCCCGGCAGTTCGCGGAGGTTCCCGGCCCTCGGGGTGGGCACTGGGTGCGAATCGCACCCGGTGTTGCGGCTGCTGCTCCCGATCCTGCAGCAACTGCTGCAGACTAGACATCGCTCCTGGTGTGTCCGGTCCCTAGATGAGCGGAGCGCTGAGGTACACGCTACTGTTCCCGTCCAGCTGGGCAGGAGCCTTTTGTAGATCGGCGATTACGAAATCAAGGCTCCCAAGTACTTGTTTTCTCACGTGTAACCAGTTAAGGACTCCTCTCGGTGGATGCTGACGGGAGATGGGGCTGCTATCCCCCGCGTTAATGAAGAAAATATCGGGAAAATTAAACAACCAGCCAAAAATTATAAGACTTCCTTTGTAAGTTGGGAACTAATAGTTTCTGGGATGAGGAAAATGCATTTCATTAAGGCCATTTCTTTCTCTGCCGTGTACCGATGCATGCACCCACACGCTACAAATTTGTATCTGTGTTGAGTCAGTAGATCAATGCCCACTCTTTTTAACTGCTCTGTAGGCTTTTGTATGAATGAACTGTAGCTGTTTCTCTAGAAAATGTTAAGTTTATTTACCTTTTCCCTGCGTGACAGTAATACTTACAATTAGCTAATATTTATTGTGTTTACTCTCAGCACTATTTGAAGTGCTTTTATACGTTAAAACATTTAGTCACCATAGTATCCTATGAGATAGGAAATACTAAGTACATTTTACAAATTAGGACACTGAGGCAGAGAAGTTGGTAAATAACCCGGTTCACATAGTGTATTGGACACTTCTGTTGCTGTGATTAACACAAAACAACAACACCCCCCCCCCCCATGACCAAGGCAACTTCTAGAAGGAAGAAATTGCTTTAGCTTATGATTCCATAGGGAGAAAAGTCCATCATGGCAGGGAGGCGTGGCAGGCGTGGTAGAAGCAGGAATCTGGGAGCTCACACACTCAAACTCCAGCATGAAGTGACTACATCAAGGCCACACCTTCCGAATCTCCCCAAATAGCACCATCAACTGAGAACCAGAGATCCAAACATCAGAGCTGATAGGAGACATTTTCATTCAAACAATTGCATGTGTGTTTCCTTTTAAACTATGAATTACTCTAAACTGGATGTCTAAACTAAAGAGCTGTGTGATTTCTCTTTGGGTGCCTCTTTGTAGCTAGTACTAAACTGCACATAGTGGTGTTGTGATTTTTAGCTTTAGCTAGCGTTATAGAAGAGCTTCTCTTAAGCCTTAGCAGTTGAATGATGGTAAGTAGGATTAGTGTTTTAAATATTGGGGGGGAAATCCTTTGACAAATCAGCACTGAAAAACCAAAGTGTATTATTATCCTAGGATGCCTGCTGTTTGGGGTGAAGTACATGGAAAATATAAATGAAGGCTTTTCTCTGAATTAGACTGAAAATTTTTGGTAGCCTTCTTACTCAGCGCTAAACTATCTTCTAATGTCTAGCATGTGTAGCTTTAATGAGACTTGGCCTGTATAATTACACTCTTAAGCTCAGATTCTCCCAGCTCTCGGGTTTCATGCATTGCTGAGTTTCTTGGTTACATGAAACATACTTTCTTATAATTGATTAAATGGTACTATGATGTACTAGGCGGCTGTTTGTTGTTCTGGGTTTTTTGTCGTCTGATCCCTTGTTGCCGTTTGCACCCTTCCTGTGCCGTACAGATGGTCTCAGGGGCCGTCTCGGCCTCTGGTTTTAGCTTTCTTTTGGTGATAGTAGGGTGACCATACTTCTTGCTTGTGCTTTTTCTAGTATAATCATTAAAAAGCTGGTTACCCCACCGCCCACCCCCAAGTTAAAACTGTTCCAGTTTGGATGCTGAATTATAGAGTCCCCCTGGAGTTTGGAGCCTGAGCTTGGCCCTCCCTCCCTGAGTAGGCAGCCGCAGCTCACTGCCATGTCTCAGCTCCCACCCTCCCTCCCCACACAAAATCTTTTCTCTTAGGTTC